TCTAATTGTATGTAGACCCCTGGAGTCATTTGCACAGCCTCAAATGCCATTTTCCCTCAAAAACATGCACAGACCCGCTTTATATAAATATAGTGTAGATATAACAGGGGCCCCTGCTTAGCAAAGGGGCCCCTACTTGGGTTGGGGCAGCTCCATCAGTTAGGAGTGAAAAGCAATCACTTGAACTCTTAGGAAGGTCACACATTTAATAATTAGCTCAAAAATAAGGAGAGAAAGCAATTTTTTTTTCAGATCGTACTTTATTTAAGAAAAAAAAGCCTATATTAGGACAATATTTTATATATATGGGTATCTAAGTTTACACTCACATTTGCTCTTATATTTTCCAAAACTGAGAGTAGCTATGCAGCTTCAGGTGTATTTGGAATCTATAGATTTATTTAAGTTAGTATTATTTAGGGTAGTTCTGTGCATTCATGAAAGTAAAGTGCTTATGTTTAAGAATTGAGTATTAACATCAGGAGCCAAATTTCAGCTCCTCAGTAGTAGAGCATTTAGTTGAACATTATATTAATAATATTTTCAGTTCTCTTCAAGTTTTTGTCTGTCAGATATTATAGAGATGAGCAAAATTTACCATTGATAATTTTAATGACTATGGAATTCTGGTTAGAACTTTTTTTTCATTTTTAAGCCTAGCAGCAAGGTATAGCACACTGTATTAAACACCATCCATGTAATTAAATTGCAAATATTTTAGATACGTAGTTCAGAATAAATTCCAAATCAAAAGGATACCCTAAAGGCCCAAACCAAAGTCAATAGCAATATAATGCAAATGGATACTGATAATAATTTCTAAGTAATTGAAGGCAAGACTATAACTATTAATTGCTGTTACTTGTAGCGGTTCTGATTTTTTTTTTTTTTCAAATCAGCTTCAGGTGATTACAAAGGAAAAACACACTTGGGTGAGTAACAATAATCAGAAAACCTAAAGAGCATTTATTTATCTGTTTACATTTCCAGTTAAGGCCAAATAGTGTCATCTTGGAAGCACTGAAAAAGTTTATGCAGGTACTGTATACCTC